TTAAATAAAGATCCAGGAGGTGGGAGTTACCGTTGGGAGCGATTTCTAAAAAGGAATACATTCTCAAGCAACTGCCGTGTGCTTTAATATTCAGACTGCCTTCCCTGGGGACCTGATCCTGCCTGATCTTATGCAACGACCATCTACACTCCGCGTCTTACCCGGCAGTTGCTTTGGAAAGGCTGGCGGGGAGAGAGAGCGGGGAGGAACAGCCACCTTCTCTTGTGGAGAAGGAAGCCGAGAATAGCTATGGTTCCTTCTGAATGTGGAAAACCACCTCTCTGCAGTTTTGAAGCCCAATCTTGCAAGAGTGACTGATCTGTGCAGGCTTTCACCCGATTTACAGAAGCATTACTCTATTCATGCTATCGCAGCCCACATCAACTGGCGTGCGCGCAACCCGAAACAGTGCAGTCTTATTCACGGCAATGCAGAAATAAGCCCCGTCGAGTTCATTGAGATTTATCCATGTGCGTAAGACTGCAGCCTCAAGTCTTCATTATACTGTCCAGGAATCTCTGTTTTTTAAGTAGGGGACGCAACTCACTGTTAAAGTCTATTGCACATGTGATACAGATGACCCTATGCTAGCACTACAGCATGCTTTTTAAAACAAACTGTGCTTTCCAGCTGGGAACATCATACATAGTTAATTCAACTGCAGAACAATGATCAGAATTTGCATTTGTGTGTGTGTGTTACAAATCTGTCATTTTCGGGAAAGACTGTAAAACACAACTAAGCCAAGTGGACTTGGCATGCATGGCCCTGTGTTAGAAATAGCAGAAAAAGAAGCCCTGGGAAAATGGGTCTCTCTAATTTTGTCAATGCTGGACGGATAGCTCAGATCTCTGGCTGGGCAGCCAAAGGTTGGGAGTTCAATTCCCTCACTGGGCTTCCAGGGAGAAGAGCCAGCCTGGGTGGCCTTGGGCAAGTTGCAGAATCCCAGAAATGCCCCAGCAGTAGCCAGTTGTTCCCTCCTGCCTCTTGCCTCCCTTTCCCCCCTCTCTTGAGTCTCTTAGAAGGAGGGAGTCTGTTGAAATCTGTTTGGTGAAAGCAGTCCTGTTCGCCAGTTTACTGTTTGATCTGTTCACTGGAAGTAAATGAAACCTTTTGTTCTTTCTCATACAAATGTCTCGGAGTGAATTACTGAGACTGAAAGTGCCAGGTAATGAGAAAAAGGGTTGGACTGCTCTGGGAAAATGGAAGGTAATTCTGTTTTGTGAATCCCTGCACCTTTGTTGCACCACTAGAGGAATTTAACTAGAAATTTAAATCTCTGCAACAAATTTAGCACACAAGCAATCAGCGCAAACACCCTTATCTATATTGGAACTTGTTGGCAGCATGGAGCACCAGAATGGCACAGAATTTCCACAAACATCCCACATGCTCAGTCATCAAGGTGGAGTGAAAGGTTTGCAGCCCAGGTTTCCACAATGGAAGAGGGAGTTATCAGTCCGGCTGAGAGTGAAAGCTCACCCACAGCTTAGGGGGTAACCCTAGCTGAGCACTGAAAAGCAAACGTAGCAGGAGATTTTTTTTTTTTTAAGGGAAGCGAAAGAATGGGGACCCTTCAGGCACAATGGTTGGGAAAAGGATGAAGAGCGAACAGTAAGCTAAAATATCAACTCCAGGGAAAAGCGGGTAATTAAGGAACTAGACGGAAAGATGAAAGGAGTCAGAGAACTGAAGGAAAAAAGGGGAGATAATTTTAGGGTGGGGAGATAATAAGGAGGATTTTCTGACTATCGACCTAGTTATAGGCCTTTTGGCTTCTGTTCTTTATGGTGCAGGAGCCAGTAGCTGAAACCCTGTGTCCTTCCCTTAGCAGAAATTTAAACCATTGGAACTTCATGGGAAGTCATGTCCAGAAAGTCCTGATCGCACAACTGACTGTGTAAGTAAGTTGCACAACTTAGAACCACTTGATGGATACGTTTTCTGTTTCAACACCAATTTCTCAACCGCACATGCAACTTTAAGGTGTGTTGGTGTAGCTGCGCAACACAGTTTGGGCCAGTGTGGCCAAATGTAGACAAAATGATGGAGTAGGACTCAGGAGGCCTGGGTTCAAATGCCTGCATGGCTACAGCAACTTACGGCAGGTGGCAACGGTTAAATAAAAAACCCTAAATATCTCATATACCTTGAGAACTCTATTAGGCTTGCCATAAGTCCGATGTGATGTGATGGTACAGGACATAACATACAATCTTTATAGTGAAGTCCACATTCCTGGATAAAAGGAGTGTGTGCTTTGCACTATTAATGAATGAGTGAATGAATGAATGAATAGAGAGATAGAGAGATGGGGGAGAGAGAGAGAGAGAGGAGAGAGAGAGACAGAGAGATAAATGTAATAAATGTAATAAATAAATATTTAAAGGCAAGGACAACAAAGAATGGCATGCTTTGCTATGCATCCATGATGTTTTGGATTTCCCTGAATCTTCCTTATTAAATGTTGTTATCCAGAACATGATTACACCACTTTCTAAACAACTTTGAGAAGTTATTCTGTTGGGCCCAGAATCCCCTAGCCAAAATAAATGATGGCGGTGCCGGGTGGGGGATTTTGGGATATATAGTCTAAACCAGTTTTTAAAAGAAAAGAGCTGCATTTTTCTAAGTCCTTCCATTGATCATAATCCTGTTTTTCCACCATGTTTGGCCAGCTCTACGCTACTTGCGACCTATGGGGTGATTCTCTATTTTTCTTCCCCTTTTGTCTCCAAGCAGCATGACGGACGTTCCCGTTGCTTACAACTAGACCCAATTATTTAATGACTTAAGTAGCAGTGGTATTGATGTGGTGCTTGGCATCACTGGGTGCCACAAAAGACAAGAAAATCAAGATGCAGAGAGAGGGCGGGGGCCAGGAAACAGTCAACGTCATCTGTTCTGATTTCGGCAAAATGGCACACAAAATCTAACTTAAAAAATTAATCTAAGCCTCCAGGGATGCAGGAAATTGGCCGACGGACCAGAAGCAAAAAGGCCAAGAGTTACTGAATCAGGGAGGGGGGGCGGCGGCACGAGGCCGGGGAGAGGGGGAGACAGAACAGGGCGGCATGTCTAGTCTCATCTGATATCTGTTCTCAAAGACGACAGAAAAGGAAGCAGCTGTCAGGTCCTCTAAACCCCCAGATGACGCTGAACAGAGATGCATCACCAAGACACTGGAAAGATGGGGTGGGACTCGAGAGGACGAGGGGGTCCAGTCTTCGGTCTGCATGTTTCATATGTGACAGTGGTGTGACGGGAGGAATCAGTAATGCTTGCTGAACCTCTCCCTTTCCCCTGTGTAACAGCTGAATGAGAGGACTTTAGGAAGCAAACCATTCCTTCTACATGTCCGTGCTTGTATTCCTGAACGTCAGACTCCAGCTGAAAGAAGAGGCTCTAGAAGATGGTTTTATTTTATTTCCTTTTATTATCAATCCAGGAATATGCCATGATCCTGGCTGTGCCAGCTAGAAGGCTGGAGAATGCCGGCGAGGGCGCCTGCTCATGGAAACACATCTGGGGCATTTCCCTCCATCAAAGGTCCTGCTGGAAACCGTATACAAGTCAGACTATCATCTCTCTAGGTCAGGGCCAGTCCAGTGGAATCCCTGGTTGGGGGCCAAGAGTGGTCATTCATGCTAGCCCTTCATCCTCATTCCCGCCAGCTGGTCCTGCACCCCCTAAATCATCCGGCCACACCCAGGTCCAGGGGAAGACTGGTCCAGCTGCAGGGGTTGAATCCATCTCTCGGCTTGTCCTTTGCATCAGTCAGCAAAAGGTTTCCGGCCAGGCCTACCTGGGGAATACTGCCTCCCTGCAGCAGAGCTTTGCATCACAAAGCTGGCATCTTTTGAATGGCTGGAGAGCTCAGTGGTTTCGGTCTCTGTCTGGGGAGCCAGAGGTCAGGCGTCCGATTCCCCCACTGGGCCTCCCTGGCAGGGGCTGGACTGGATGATCCAGAGGTACCCCTCCCGGCTCTGCCCTTCTAAGACAGAGAAAGCCTCCTCCTTGGGAAGTGCGCTCAGCCCTGTTACTGAAACTGAGCCCCATGAAACTAATGAAAAAGCAGCGATTCCTTTTTCATGACACTGGCCTTTTCAGCAGTGGACATGATGGAGATGCTGGCGGGACTGGAAAAAACAACAACATCTCAATGCTTTCCTCTGACTGCTGCACGGATGTCATCAGTAGTACTATAATTTCTTCCACATAAGAAATTGTGCCTATGTATATCAGGTATTCGTCGGTTTGTGTGGGGTGTGCACCTAGTCTAGGCCTGTGGAATGGATATTTTTTAAAAAATAAACTGGTGCCTGGATGATGGATGGATGGATGGATTTGGTGCCTTTCTTCTAAAGGCAGTCTACAGTAATTCTAACTTCAATTGTGTAATGTGCAGAGCTTGGAAAAGTAACTTCGCTAGGAGTGATGGTGGAAACTATCTATCTGGTGGAAACTATTTTTAGTCCTCTATGCTGTCAGTGGGGGCAATCGACCTCAAAGCAAAACAAAGCACGCAAGCAGGTAATTTGATTTTGACAAGCCGACAAGCATCCACCGTGAATCAAGCTAGAACATGATCTAAATTGGAGCAGGGGGTAGAATCCAAGGCCTTAGAGGATCTCAGACTTTGTAGCAAAATAGTCCATGCACCCTTGCATGGCACATTGCCAAGATCAAGCAGAAGAAAATGCAAATTGAAGGAGAAGCACGCCAGGCAAAACCAGACCAGACCAGACCGAGGCGAGTCCCTTTCACACATTAGAAAATTCCACATTTTTGGCCCGAAATTCTATTTCTTGCCCAGCACGCAGGGTCACTGGCCCTCTTGGCTATGGTTCTGTGAGAATCTCAGTCTAAAAAACTCAGGACTATATAGATTCTGTTGTGCAGAATAACTTGGGAAAGAGGCGTGTAAAGCCATCCCCCCTCCCCTGCCTCCTTCCACGGACCCCACCCCATCTGCCCGGGGGACAGAAAGAGGCACTCACTGTTGCTTGCGTGTCAGCTCCTGTTCCTTCTGCACCAGGTCTTGCTTGAGGGAAGCCAACATCTCCACGCTTACGTCCACCTGGCGGGACAGCTCCACGGCCCGGTCCTCCAGCTCCTGTTTCTCCCGGCTCAGCCGGAGGCTCTCCTGCTTGGCTTTCTCCAGCTCCGAGGTCTTGCGGTCCAGTTCCACCTGGAGCCGGCCCACTTGGGAGGCGATCTTCTGCTCCACCTCCTCGGTCAGCTTCTCCAGGCGCTTGTCCACCTCCAGCTTCTCAAAAGCCCGAATCTTGAGGCGGGTCAAGCCTTCCTCGTAGGCTGCGTCCACGGCGGCCACGGCTGCGGCCGCGGCCGCCGTGGCAGGAGGAGTGGAGGCTGACGTCATGGCCTTCCGGGTGAAGATCTCCGTCAGCGGGATCTCGATCTCGTGGACGTAGCGGGAGGCGACCGGCGAGGAAGAAGGATCCAGTTCGTCGGCGGCGATGAGGTCGCAGGTGAAATGCTGTTCTTTGCCCTGGAACGAGGTGCTCTCAAAGATGTCCCGGCGGGTGGCTGGGGTCAAGAGGGTGGTGGTGTCGGACGCCAGGGGGAAGACTGTGGCATCACAGATGCTGTTGGTCTTGGAAAGGACATAGAGCGTCTCGTAGGTGTGATTGTACTCCAGGTGGGCCCGCAGAGAAGAGAGGCTTCGGAAACGCTTGTGTTCCCCGCAGCGAGGACAGCGATAAGGCAGGTCCAGAGACGCCATCCCTCAGCCCAAGCTGCCCAGCCGGCCACGCAGCCCTCCTCCACAGGAATCCAGCCGCCTGGCCCCGCTCATGGTGCTGGCCCGCGGGTGGCCGCTGTGGCAGCGCCGGGAGCAGAACAGGCAGTGCAAGGGGGAAAAGGGCAGGGCGACAGGAGGGTAGGGCCCTTCAGCAAAGTCATTGCTGGTCAGGAGCTGGTGCGCCAAGCCAGGGAGGAGACCAATCCCAGCGGGCGGCGGGAGGTGCGGTCAGCATTGGGCACTCCTGGAAGAGAGAAGAGGGTCAGCACCGTCTGGCCACTGGTCCCTTCCTGAGACCACACTCCCCCCTGCACCTGTGGCTGGAGCTGGGAAAGCTTCAAATAAATTTATTGTCATTGTAAGTACAGTGGTGCCTCGCATAGCGACGATAATCGGTGCAGCAAAAATCGCTGCAAAGCAATTTCATCGCTATGCGATATTAAAAAGCCCATAGGAATGCACTGAAACCCCTTCAATGTGTTCCTATGGGCTTCAGACTCACCTTTAAACGAAAATCCTCCATACGGCGGCCATTTTTACTGCCCGGTAAGCGAGGAATCTGTCCCAGAAAACAGTGGGCGGCCATTTTTTTTACCCGCGGCCATTTTCGCAAAGTAATTTTTCCCCATTTAAAACATCTCTTTGTGATGATCGGTAAGCAAAACAGGTTACCGATCATCGCAAAGTAATTTTTCCCCATTTAAAACATCGCAATGCGATCGCTTTTGCGATAGCAAAATCTTCATTGCTATGCGATTTCGTTGTTAAACGGGGCGCCCGTTAAGCGAGGCACCACTATATATACATAGTATACCCATACAACAAAATTCACACAGACACCGAGAGACCAGACCCACATGCACACACACAAAAAATCCTCAAACACTCCTCACCCACTAAGAACCCCCCACTAAGAAACTAAATCATTGGGGACTACAACTTCCAGCATCCCCAGCCAGCCAAAGTTCACTTCTCTATCTCCTTTTCCAGGTGGAAGAAAGAGTCGAGAATCAGAGTTTGGAAGAGTTAATTTTTGTGGACTACAACTGAGGGATTCTGGGCAGCGTTGTCAAAAAAAAAAGCGCGCCCCTTCTTGCAAGCTCCGTTTGGCCCCTTTGTCAATAGGAACTCTTAGGCCGGCTATCAGAGGAGGGAGGAAACAACCCAGCCATGCCTGGACTGCTTACTCCATGCAATTCTGATGTAATCGGAAGAGGTCAAAGTAGAAACAGAAAGGAGGGTCGGTCCTGGATCTTCTCCCTGCTCCTGTCAGTCGGAGGTAGATTAGCATTCCTGGCCTGAGAGCCGAGGAGGACGCTGACAGGAATGGCAATGAGGACCCAGAAAGATGGAGAGGGAAGTGGGCCATGTCTTCTCTGTCCAGGCTTTGGAGAGCCAAGGTGGCACCTATCTCCAGGTAAACATAAAACAGCCTGCAGTGGTTTTGCCACCATTTCACTGTCACGTCAGATATAAATCACACCGGTGACTCAACCGGGATTCAGCTCGTTGTTTTTTTTCCTTCAATGACTCGGATTTAACTCGGAACCCCTCCCACCCATAAGCTTGTATTTAATAGAGACTCGAACATGGGAGTCAGGGTTTGGTACCAAAGATTTAGACTCAGACTTGGGCCCAAAGACTGTCCAACATCCCTAAATAGCAGGCATATTGTCCCAACTCCTCCATTCCATCTCTCTCTCTCTCTCTCTCTCTCTCTCTTCATCTTGTCTACTTCTTTTTCTGCCTGACAGCACCTGGGAGAGACAGAGAGAGTTCAAAAAAAGGAGGCACTTTTCTATACCCCAGGCTTGGCCCAACCTGAGATGAGAATCGCTGTGGCCAAGGCCACAAACTCTTGCTCTCAATCCTGCTTTACTGTGGACTTGGCTTAATCCAGCAAGGCTCGATGTGGGTCATTCTGGCTATGCGTTTGCAAACAGCCACTCCCCCTTTAATTGCAAAGACAACCACATTTTCTTTTCTCCACCAAGACAAAGGGTTTGAGGACTCCCTTCCCGGCACACCGTTCTTCGGTCTTAAAAACACACAACTTTATCAGCTGTAATTTCAATATTTCATGACGACTCTGTTCAAGGAACACACTATAGCATCTCCCCGCCCCACTTGGAAACAGATACGCTTGAGAACTGTCGTGGGGTGTGTGTGTAAAGCCACAGAGCCCTCTGAAGCAATGAATCAGAAAAGGTCAGTTAAAAAAATATAAAGCAACAATTTGTTTGAGAGAGATATATTCCATTTTAAAAAGCCAGCTCCACCTCTGAAAACAGCCATTCATTGCCAAACCAAACTGGCGCAGAAGTTGGGAGACCTTGTTTTTTTTTTGGGGGGGGGGCGACCGTTCCAGAAAGGTCCCAACAACATGGCCAAATAGACAGAGAAAGTGCACAAATAGCCATCATCATTATGTATCATAAATTATTTAATAACTGTGTGCCCTCAAATCGATTCGGACTTGTGGCAACCCTTTCCAGGTAGAGAATACACAGAAGTGGTTTTTTAATCATTCCCTTCCACTAGGGGCGCTATGGGACAGTGCAGCTTGCCCAAGGCCACCCAGGCTGGCTCTACTCACAGGGAGACCCCGTGGGGAATCTCCACCTCTGGCTCCGCAGCTAGGGCCCTAAACCAATGAGCAATCCAGCCAGTAAATGTTGTGTATAGTTTTTAAAAAATCCACCCTGATTGGTTCATAGTGGCTTCATCTAGGGTTAAACCACAAACCAACAGGCACTTCCATCTGAAACGGGAAGCAGTGTAAGATCCTAGGAGGAGCCATTCTGGATCTGGGCAGAGCCGTGTATTCCATCCACACAACGGACAATTGGTAGTCTATGGAGAGGACATCAGAAGGACACAGCCCCCCTCCTGCTCGTGTTCCCTGACAACCAAAACACAAACGGATGTGCTCGCCATTTCTGGAGGGAGGTATATGTCCACCTTCTCTAGCAGCCCCTGATGGCCCATCTTCTGTGCATTTAATGCTATCCACACTGATGGCCATCCAGGGGAGGATCATGGCTCTGATGTCAGTGGCATGGTGAACTGGCTCTGGGTTTTAGCCCAAACTTTACAAGAGCTATCCTAAGCAATCCTATCCCTATCTTTCCAGCACCTTCGTAGCTCCTCAACCTCAAGAGTCCCTGAGGTTTAGCAAAGTTGAAGGCAGCAGAAAAAAAGGAAGACTAGCAAAGTTGAAGGCAGCAGAAAAAAAAGGAAGACCAAATGTGAGAGGGATTGAATCAGTAAAGGCAGCCATGACCTGGGGCTGAAGATTCGAGCAGAGCTATTGAGGATAGAGGACCTTCTGGAGGCCACTCATTCATAGGAAGGTGGGATCACTATAGGCAAGAAGTCACTTGGCAGGGCTGGAGAAACAACAGAAAAACCAACTGGAACAAATGGGCCACTTCACCAGGCATCAGAACCGCCAACTTCCACTCCATCCGGGCACAGCAAATTCCCAAGTTTTACTCCACACCCTGTGAAAAAATAACTTCTTCAGATCCGTCCTGGCGTTTCCACCAGTCTGTTTTGGTGTGTGATCCTATGTTCTGATCCAAGATTTCACGCCATCTGGATGTTCTGCTGCACAATCCCCAGGCAAACAACCCGGGCAATACAGGAAACAGGGGGTATCTCTGCCCTTGGCTAGCCTGCCCAAGGTGGTGCAACAGATCAGACCGTTTCAGGCGGGAGGTGGAGGTGCACCCATGTTTTGGGTTCGCCTTCACTGACAACACCCTCTGAGTACAGATTGGGGAGAGACCCTCAAGCCTAGCGTTTGCCCTGGTGTTCTGACCTTCTCTTGGCCTGGGGAGTTTTTGCCCTTAGGGTGACATTAAAAATGTCACTCACCACCTCCACACAGTCTGTTTTGCCTCTTAAGGATGCTAGTAAACCAATCTGGTTGCCTCTTGAAACCTAGCCCTGGGGAAAATGGCACGCATGTATCAGGGTGCAATAGTGAGGGGCAGAGAATGGCCACCAGGTTTGAACCACAACATTTTAAGTAGGCACAAGGACTGCCTGCAGAGAAGTGTGCAAAAAAAAGGATGGATCCAGGGGTATTTGTGTGATTCTGGCATGATTGTGGAACATAGCAAGGAACTGGCGAACACCATCAGGCAAAGAAACGTCAGAACAGATCCTTCACATTCCATCTGACATCCATGGAGTTAAAAAGAGGGTCTTGATTTAAATGGGGGAACCTGGAAATTGAGAAATGTAGCACAGCAGAACGACATCGACAGAGAAGGCGAAGGACAGTGAAACCTTCCAGTAACGCCCAGTTTCTTCGATGGATGCTCTAACCATGAAAACTTTGGAAGGGTTGAAACCCATGTCATTGTGCTCTCTCTCTCTCTCTCTCTCTCTCTCTCTCTGTGTGTCCCCACTGCAGCTATTCCATCTGCCATTCCATGGAGCTGTAGGGTAAAAAGAAGACATGTCCCATTGTTTAATCGTTTCACCGTCTGGCATAGTCTCCTTTTTCCTTGCACCCTCAATTAACTTTGTCTGCTCAACTTTACTGGACTATTATTATACCACTACACTTGAGCATATTTGTGACTGCGGAAGGGTGGATGTATGGGCTTTGAGTGGACAGGTCAGACCATCCGGATGCTACACAGATTCCCTGGGTCACAGTAGATTGTGTTCCTCCTCTATTTAATGTTTTTTTCTTTATAAACAAAGAACTAGATACACAGATCATGTCATGGACCCAACCACCGTGCAGATTGCAGTGAATACTAAAAAGTTCAGAGCCAGTCGCTGGGAGGCCTTTGACACACCAGGAATGAAGACGTTTCAGGACCAAGGAGAGCTCCCAAGGAAAGCAGGAACGGAAGCCACAAAGTCCAAGATCTAACTAATGCAAGGATGCAGAAGCTCTTTCAGTCAGAAGGCCAAAACTCTCATCTTGGAGAAGGCAGAAGATAGCTTTCCAGCGGGTGAGATTATGCCCATCTCTGTTTTGAAGAGCAGAGACATTCAAGCACATTTTTTTAACCTTAAAGCTCTTCCCGATAGCAAAGTTGCTTTGGAAGCAACGGTTCCTCCTTTGGCGATGAGGAAATCACCCAGTCGGCAGCTCTCAAGTCGCGAAACACTGAAGTCAGGAGGAGAGGCCTTCGCCCACCAGGGAAGCCCAGAGGACCGGATCCAAGCCAAGGGAGGCCAGATCTGGTCCAAAAGCATGCGGTGTCTCCCACCAGCTCT